TCGGCGCTCTAAGCAGCGACCCGAACGACGGCGAGGCCCTGACCTCCGGGCATCTGCTCACCCCACCATCAGCGGCGCTCCCGGACCAGATCAGTCTGACCTGCTTGCGACGATGGCGAGGTGTCTCGTCTCTCAGGCACAGGTTTTGGCAGCGATGGTCCCGGGAGTACATCTCCAGCCTCCAGCAGCGGTCCAAGTGGCACCAGGGGGAGCCCAACCTCGTCGTGGGGCGCTCGTCGTCGTCGCAGAAGGCAACCTTCCGCCCCAGCAGTGGAGGATTGGACGAGTAGTAGCGGTGCACGCCGGCGCCGATAGCAAGGTTCGCGTGGCGGACGTCAGGACGCAGGACGGCGAATATCGACGAGCTGTCCACCGACTGGCCCTGTTGCCCGTTCTGGGCTGAAGGACGTCGTCCCTTCAGAGGGGGCGGTGTTTGCGCACTTGGCACTTGTATTTAAATCACTAGTTGTAGGGCGAGAGCGGGAGCCAATAAAGCTTTCGTCCGTTCGCTCTTGCGAATTTGCCCCGCCTCTCGCCACCGTAGCATAAGTTAGGTTCTAAGAGAAATTATTGAAATATAATAGTCAGTGATCAATCGAACGTCATCGTAGCCACTCCTTTTCGTCGCGCTTTCGAAATAGTTTTTCACAAATTCGCAATTTAACATCGTCGAACTACTGAAGTCACAAGTTGTTAATACAACACAGTATTAAATATTCAACTACTCTTTCGACTTTTGGCTAGATTTCAGGGATGTAATAACTCTTTTCTAAAATATCACGAGTCTTTTTGATACCGAAGTGTTCCTCCTTATGTGCAATGCTTATGATTTCCTCTTCCATTGAGTCAGGAACAACCAGTAATTCGTTTACTGTGTCTTTGTAAAGAATATTATTCTTTAAAAATAAGTCTTCATATACGTCATTGCTGCTCAATACGGACTTAACAGCTCTAATCCAGTCGTCGTTGTTTTGTGCCTTTCACAATCGTGACTTTGTGGAGTCTGTGATTAAAAAACATAACAATCGGCTTAATGCATCCATGTGCCTCATTTTGGTTTCAGCTCTGTGCTCCACTTTGAACTCGAATTTTTGCAATGACATGGCCCATCTTGCAACTCGCGGTGGCAGGCCGTCTTTTATAATCGTCATTGCAAAAGCGTTGCAGTCGGTGATCACTGTAAATCGCTTTCCGAGCAGGTAGACTCTCCACTTTTTCAGCGCGTTTACAATCACTAAAACCTCAAGCTCGTAGGAACTGTACTTTTCCTCAGAAGCATTCGTCTTTCGACTCATGAATTCTATTGTGTGAAACTGTTGATCCTCTGAGTCCCTTTGCACTAAAACGCCGCCAAAGCCATACTTTCTTGCATCTGTATGCACTTCGGTTTCTGCTAGCGGATCGAACAGTTTGAGTACTGGTGCTGCAGTTGCAGCTACTAGCAGTTGCTTCAGAGAGTTGAAGGAAACTAAGTCCTCCTCAGTCAACGTTGAATTCCTGTCGTTTTTTCTACTATTTTTCTATCGCAGCAAGTCGCTCAATGGTTTTGCTTCTAAGGCATAATCCTTTATAAATCGGCGCATGTAAGACGTCAGACCTAAGTAACGCTGCAAAGCTTATCTGCTTTGAGGAATTGGAAAATTGACGACCGCTTTTATTTTCTTGTTAGTTGGTGCTATGGTTCCGTTCTCAATAGTGTAACCTAGAAAATTGATCTTGCTCTTCTCTTTGCGCTTCAAAACTTTTTCCAACGCCAGCAGACTCTCGTCTTCGTCCTTACTTGGCACGATTATGTCGTCCATGTATACTACTATAGATTGACTTTGTATGAGATCCCTCAATGTAGCTGTTAGGTATTGGCAGAATACAGCAGGAGAGTTTGAGATACCGAACGGTACATGCATGAATTCGTACTGCCCGTTATGCGTCACAAACGCTGTAAACTTCCTGGATTGTTCGTCAATCGGTACATGAACGAATCCGTTCATCATGTCGAGAGTAGTAAATATTTTTGATCCTTGTAACCTGCCGAGGACGTTGTCAATTAAACTCATCGGAAAATTGTCTTTCTTGATTTTTTGATTTAGTCGTCGGTAATCACAGCAAAATCTTCTGGATCCGTCCTTTTTTGCAACTAGTACAACTGGTGATGCATACTCTGACGAGCAGGGCATAATTCCTTCTGGCAGCCATTCCTGCACTTGTTTCTCAATAAAGCACTTGTTTTCATACGATGTGCGTCTTGGGCGCTGATAAATTGGATTGTCGTCTTCCAAAACAATTTTCATGCTCACAGATGAATCAATTGATTTTACCGGCTTATACCCTGTAACAAGCTGCTCTACCTTTAGTTTTTGAGTCTTATCCAGGTGAGACAAGTCAACTTTGTCTAAAACAGAAGTTTCCTCGACGATCTCAGTGACTGACATTTAAATGTATTTGCGAACTCTCTCTCTTTCGATATAAATTTGACTCCATTTGAGGTGAACATAAGGTTGGCGGATAACAGAACATCGTTTCCTACAATCGCAGCACACTCCAGTTCATGCTGTTTGGCCACATGAAAAGTCACCGAAAAGCATGCATCGTCTGATTCGAGGTCAATGTCAAATGATCCTATTGTTACCAACTTGCCCTTGCCAATACCTCTCAGGTGTTTAATTACAGGCTTAAGCTTCAGACCGTCAAAACTTCTAAAAATGCCCTCTCTCATCAAGCACAAATCGCATCCTGAGTCAATCATGGCTACAAATGTCACGTCCTTTACTTTCAGGATTTTGTAAATTAAGCCCTTCGCAGTTTTAACTTCTAGCACATTAGCCGATTCATGCTTAACGCAAGCTTTTGATTTATATTCTTGACATTGTTTCGAGATGTGTCCTTTCTTGTTGAAGTGTAACAAACTACTTCACCCTTGCAGTCTTTTGCAATGTGTCCCTCGCTGTTGCATTTAAAACATTTTCTTTGAAAATTACCCTGAGTCTGGTTATTTGTCGCTTCCTTGGTAACATTTTCTTTTATTTTCCCTTACCCTTCATCTTCTCGTAAATATATTGTAACGACCTGATTTCTATGTATTCTCGCTCGCTACGTTAACGGGTGGCTAGCTCAGAGAGGTTATGGGTTCGTTCCACCAAATTTATATTGGGTGATTGCCTTTGACCAATGAATAACGCAAGAGTTCTGTTGGGATCGTAACTGTCTTTATTCGTCTCCTTGTACAAGCCTCGCGGCTCTTCAGCTGCTGCTGCTCCTCGTCGTCGTCCTCTGCGGCGTCGCTCCTCGTCGCTGTCCTTCGCGGCGTCGCTCCTCGTCGTCGACTGCTTGCTGGTATATTTGCTTCGTGACGGCTCCTTCGAGATTCTGGATGTTATGCGAACCTCACTATCGGGACCGGCAAGGTGTTTCGCCTAGCAGGTAGAACGCCGTTCTGCCTTTTCGCCTAGCCACCTTTATCGCAGGCTCCCTAAGTTGGTTCGGATTGTGTTGGCAAGGTGTATCGCCTAGCCGGTTGAACTCGGTTCGACCTCTTCGCCCAGCCACCTTTATCGCAGACTCCTCGCAAGGACTCCCTGAGCTCGATTTAACCACGACCTAGCACCCATCGGATCTCAGCGTTGAAGCCTCAGCCTTGTAGACTCTCAGTCGTTCGGCGTCTCGACTTTGCGATCTTGATCCTGGTACTCGGCACTTGATTAACTTGCTACTGGTCTCGCGTACACGCACTCGCTTTGATTCTCGCACTATTACTCTCCCTGTGCCGCGCTTGCGCCGCCTTTTATAGCCTGTGATGGTCCCGTTATTTCCCTTTTCCAGCTCGCGTGATCGGGTCCAAGGTCCACTGCCGCACCGTTAGTTCACGGTGCGTCCTCTTTGTGCGGGTCCGAAGTCCGCCAATTTACCGTTCGACCCTGTTGCCCTTGCCGTGTGAGGGTCCAATGTCCAGCGTGGTACCCGGGTCCAAGGTCCGTTGTTTACCGTTTGACCTTGTTGCCCTTGATTCCTCCGGCATTCTCGCCTCCTTCGCTGTTGCTATGCAGCTCTCCTGCCTCGGAATTTGTGGGGAGTTTTAAGACTCCTCACATTTCCCCCTTTCTTCGGAAATGTTATGAAAGTGGTGATCTCCCCGCCCCTGTTGTTCGTTCATTCAAATTTCCCGTCCAAACTCGTTCTCCTCGTGACCCTATACAGTTCCCCAAAAGACTTCAACTTTCCCTGAGCTGCCCTCGTAAGACTTCCCCCAGACAGCGCTCTGAAAGACCTTTAACTTTCCCATGGCTGTGCTGCGTTAGCCTGTTCCCCAGACAGTTTCCCGAAAGACTTGAACTTTGCCAAAACTGCATCTTGTTCCTTCGATAGTTCCCCGCGTAGAATTTGAATTTCCCGCCCAGACATTTCCCCGTGTTTGACATCACCATTCCGATTCCCGTCGTCTGACCACACCTCGATCGCGCTTATCGATAGTGGTTCCAGCATTGCCATCGTTGTTGCCGTTATCGTTTTCGTTGTCTTAAGTTGCCTCCGTGTGACCGTTTCTTGAGAAATCCAGTATTTTTGTACCCATCGATCGCAACTATCGATCGACCGCCTATCGCCTGGCGCCCCCGTCCCTAATTTCCTCACGACCTCGTTGTTTTGAAAAAACTGGTAAGTAAACTTGCTGATGATAGTTTTCCTTTAATTAACGACTTTTTTCTTTACAGCGACACCATGACCATGATGCCCCTGATGCCCCTGACATGTCTCGGGGTGCTGACCCTGGACCGCGTGCCCCGGGAGACCCTTGCGGCGGCAAGTGACCCCCCTCGCCCTACGCCTGCGGCAGCCTCGTGTTTTCTGCCGGCCCGCGTGCTTGGCCCGCGATTCCCCCCTCACCGCCCCCGTTCCGCGATCGGCTGCTGCGGCGGACCACTCTTTTTTTTTTGTGTTGTGCTGTGTTGTGCTTCGCTGCCCAAATAATAACTGCTGGGCTTTACTGCTGGGGTCTGTTTTATTTGGCCTTAAACACCCGCACCCGGCCCCCTGCTACCTTGACTCGGTAGCGCTGTCCCTCCTCCAGCACGAGCTTGGCCCACCTGGCCTTCCTCTGCCTCCCTCGCTGTCTTTGCGCTTCTTCGGCCACCCGCGCCGGCCACTCCGCCTCCGGAACCTCCGCCCACGGTTCCGCGCCCTTCGACTGCTGTCTCCGCAGCGTCGGCCTCGCCGGTGGGGCTCGCGACTCCGGGCACGAAGTCTGCCGCGCCAGCTTCGGGGGGTGGCGCCGTGTCCCGCGACGTCTCCGGCGGTGTTGGCCACTCCCATGGCCCCTCCAGCCCCTCTTGGGCCTCGCGTTCCTTCTCGGTCGTCACCTCCAGCCCCGCGCGATCGGCCGTCTCCGCGTCGCGTTTCGCCGACTTGGCCCTCGGATGGCCCGGGTTCAACGGCGGTGGGCGCCGCCACTCGATGGCTTCGATGGCCTCTCGCATCCTGGCCTCCTCTGCTGCCACCTCGGGCGCGGGCCACGTCCACGTGACCGTCTGCTGATGACACCGCCGCCCCTCCACCACGATGGTTCGCAGCGCTTGCGCGACCTGCGCTTGTGGCAGGTGCCACTCCTGCTGCCTCGGCGGCGACCATGGTGGTGGTGATGGTGAGTGTGGCAGCGGTGACGGCGATCGTGGTGGCGGCGGTGGTGGTGGCGTCGGCGAACGTGGTGGTGGTAGCGGCGGCTGCGTTACCGACGGCGGCTGCGCTGCTGGTGGCGACTGCGGTGCCGACAGCGGCGGCTGCGGCGGCTGCTCCTTTAAAAGTAACGGTGCCCTCCGTGTACACGCCTCCTACGCAACCCGTGCATGTGTGTGTTTAGCCGGTAACGGTGCCTACGGCTTTTTAAACCCTCCCTGTCCCGCTCTCGCGCTCCTGAAGTATGTGCCTGTGTGTGTGTGCTTGACCGTTAATTTCGATACTGTGTATCCTCCCCCTTTCTTCGGTTAGGGTACAGTGCTCCTCCGATACGCCGGATTTGTTGAGACTGCCCCTCTTTGCTTTGGGGTTTTAACTGGCTTATGTGTGTTTTCCTTTCTTTGCCCGTGTGTTCGTGCCGCAGGTTGCAAGTAACCGGAGAATCGAAATTAATTATTTTAAACGGTCCCTCGTACCTGGGGGCCAGTTTCGCCGCGAATCCTTCTGCCGTCTTGGATAGATGGTGCTCCTTGGCCCATACCGTGTCTCCAATATGTGGTTTCCAAGGGCGCCTCCGGAGATTGTAGTGGCGCGCCTGATCCTGCGCCGCCTTCTCCATGTTCCGTCTGACCAGCTCGAAGATTTCGTTTATTTTTTTCGCATTCTCCGACGGGGTCTGGGTTTCCCTTCCTGTGCCGGTGGTTTCTTCATCAAACAACGCGCTCGGTAACCTGGGCTCTCTGCCCTGCGTGACGAATGCCGGCGAATACCCTGTGGACTCGGCTACACTAGTGTTCACGGCCAGCTGCAATTCTGGCCATTTCTCATCCCACGTTCTCTGGTCTTGTCCGGCAAACTGGGCGATCATTGTTTTTACAGTTCTATTGGCCCTCTCCGTGGGATTTTCTTGTGGTGTGTACGGGGCTGTGAACTAGTGCCGCACTCCCAACTCTGTCAGGAGCCGCTTGAACGCCCTGCTCGTGAACTGCACCCCGTTATCGGTGATTAAGACCTTCGGCACGCCGTACCTTGAGACAACTCTTTCCCGGATTGCCTTTTCCAGCGTCTCCGTGGTAGCCCTACGCATTGGAACTATTTCCGTCCACTTCGAGAACCGATCTACAAGCACTAGTAGTATCGAGTTCCCGTGTTTCGACCGAGGATGCGGCCCAACGAAATCGGCGCATACTGTGGCCCAGGGCTCCTCTGGGATCTATGTGGAGCTGACTGGGCTTGTACCTGAGGCAGCTCTCACAGTTCCGCACGTGCTTCCTAATGTCGCGGTGCATGCCCGGCCAATAATACCTCGCTGCCACCCTCGCGATCGTCTTCCGGCTGCCCATGTGTCCGGCCGTCGGCATATCGTGGTTTTCAACCATGACTCGCTGCCTTGACCCGATTGGTACGCATAGCTTCCCCATGTAGCCTCGAGGAAGGAAATATCCTTGGAAGCTGAATATAAAGTCTCCCCAGTTGTCTCACTGCCGGTTGTTGGCTATGAACCACTTTAGGGCTCTGCCCTGCAGCAGCTCCGGCATTGCTCGTGGGATCTGGTTTATATCCAGACCATATGTCACGGCTGACCACTCCACCTGCTCCAGGAACTCCAGTGGCTTGTCGTTGCCGTCATACCGAAAGTTCCAGTCTCGGACTTGCTTGGCCACCTTGGCGTAGTCCTGCGGATGTGGCCGTACGCTTTCTTTCCTCTCGCGGCTGCCTTCTCGCTGCCTGCCGTCGCTTGCCATGCTCTGAATATCCAGGCTTGCTATAAGGCCTTCGGCATCTGCGGCTGTTAGCTTGAATTTTGGGACCGGCAGCTTCCGGAATTTGACCTCCAGACCTGCCACTAACTCTGCCACGACCGGGTCTTTTGTTATGCGGTCAACCGTCTCTGCCAGGGTCTTCCTCATCGCCTCTACCGAGCCCTCAAGTTCTATTCCCAGATAGAACGCCGTTCTGCCTTTTCGCCTATCCACCTTTATCGCAGGCTCCCTAAGTTGGTCCGGATTGTCTCGGCAAGGTGTATCGCCTAGCCGGTTGAACTCGGTTCGACCTCTTCGCCCAGCCACCTTTATCGCAGGTCAGCCTCGCTGACCGGTGACGGGGATCGCGACACTAGGGGGGACGCCAGAAGCTGGAGAACGGAATCGGAGTCCCGTCTCCACTTCGCCACTGGCTGTTCCCTGGCGCGCTCCTCCCTCACCTCGTGCTCCACTCGCTGTTGGGTGTTATTCTCACGTGCGCTCATGATGACGATCTTGTTTGGAAAGACCTGCACCATGCAGCGCCGTCGCTGACGAAACCTCGGTTCTTCCGCGTATCCTCGGTTCCGTTATTCGCGGAGACGTGTACCGGTAACGGGACTCGCTCTCCGCTCTGTGTACGTGTAACGTTTAAATGTAACGATGCCCTCCGTGTACACGCCTCCTACGCAACCCGTGCATGTGTGTGTTTAGCCGGTAACGGTGCCTACGGCTTTTTAAACCATCCCTGTCCCGCTCTCGCGCTCCTGAAGTGTGTGCCTGTGTCGGGCCCCACGTTGGGCGCCAGATGTAACGACCTGATTTCTATGTATTCTCGCTCGCTACGTTAACGGGCGGCTAGCACAGAGAGGTTATGGGTTCGTTCCACCAAATTTATATTGGGTGATTGCCTTTGACCAATGAATAACGCAAGAGTTCTGTTGGGATCGTAACTGTCTTTATTCGTCTCCTTGTACAAGCCTCGCGGCTCTTCAGCTGCTGCTGCTTCTCGTCGTCGTCCTCGTCGCTGTCCTTCGCGGCGTCGCTCCTCGTCGTCCACTGCTTGCTGGTATCTGCCTCGTGACGGCTCCTTCGAGACTCTGGATGTTATGCGAACCTCACTATCGGGACCGGCAAGGTGTTTCGCCTAGCTGGTAGAACGCCGTTCTGCCTTTTCGCCTAGCCACCTTTATCGCAGGCTCCCTAAGTTGGTCCGGATTGTGTCGGCAAGGTCTATCGCCTAGCCGGTTGAACTCGGTTCGACCTCTTCGCCCAGCCACCTTTATCGCAGTCTCCACGCAAGGACTCCCTGAGCTCGATTTAACCACGACCTAGCACCCATCGGATCTCAGCGTTGAAGCCTCAGCCTTGTAGACTCTCAGTCGTTCGGCGTCTCGACTTTGCGATCTTGATCCTGGTACTCGGCACTTGATTAACTTGCTACTGGTCTCGCGTACACGCACTCGCTTTGATTCTCGCACTATTACTCTCCATGTGCTGCGCTTGCGCCGCCTTTTATAGCCTGTGATGGTCCCGTTATTTCCCTTTTCCAGCTCGCGTGATCGGGTCCAAGGTCCACTGCCGCACCGTTAGTTCACGGTGCGTCCTCTTTGTGCGGGTCCGAAGTCCGCCAATTTACCGTTCGACCCTGTTGCCCTTGCCGTGTGAGGGTCCAATGTCCAGCGTGGTACCGTTAATTCACGGTGTCTCCGCTTTGCCCGGGTCCAAGGTCCGTTGTTTACCGTTTGACCTTGTTGCCCTTGACTCCTCCGGCATTCTCGCCTCCTTCGCTGTTGCTATGCAGCTCTCCTGCCTCGGAATTTGTGGGGAGTTTTAAGACTCCTCACATTTCCCCTTCTTTCTTCGGAAATGTTATGAAAGTGGTGATCTCCCCGCCCCTGTTGTTCGTTCATTCAAATTCCCCGCCCAAACTCGTTCTCCTCGTGACACTATACAGTTCCCCAAAAGACTTCAACTTTCCCTGAGCTGCCCTCGTAAGACTCCCCCCAGACAGCGCTCTGAAAGACCTTTAACTTTCCCATGGCTGTGCTGCGTTAGCCTGTTCCCCAGACAGTTTCCCAAAAGACTTGAACTTTGCCAAAACTGCATCTTGTTCCTTCGATAATTCTCCGCGTAGAATTTGAATTTCCCGCCCAGACATTTCCCCGTGTTTGACATCACCATTCCGATTCCCGTCGTCTGACCACACCTCGATCGCACTTATCGATAGTGGTTCCAGCATTGCCAACCTTGTTGCCGTTATCGTTTTCGTTGTCTTAAGTTGCCTCCGTGTGACCGTTTCTTGAGAAATCCAGTATTTTTGTACCCATCGATCGCAACTATCGATCGACCGCCTATCGCCTGGCGCCCCCGTCCCTAATTTCCTCACGGCCTCGTTGTTTTGAAAAAACTGGTAAGTAAACTTGCTGATGATAGTTTTCCTTTAATTAACGACTTTTTTGTTTACAGCGACACCATGACCATGATGCCCCTGACATGTCTCGGGGTGCTGACCCTGGACTCGCGTTCCTTGCGGCGGCAAGTGACCCCCCTCGCCCTACGCCTGCGGCAGCCTCGTGTTTTCTGCCGGCCCGCGTGCTTGGCCCGCGATTCCCCCTCACCGCCCCCCGTTCCGCGATCGGCTGCTGCGGCGGACCACTCTTTTTTTTTTTGTGTTGTGCTGTGTTGTGCTTCCCTGCCCAAATAATAACTGCTGGGCTTTACTGCTGGGATCTGTTTTATTTGGCCTTAAACACCCGCACCCGGCCCCCTGCTACCTTGACACGGTAGCGCTGTCCCTCCTCCAGCACGAGCTTGACCCACCTGGCCTTCCTCTGCCTCCCTCGCTGTCTTCGCGCTTCTTCGGTCACCCGCGCCGGCCACTCCGCCTCCGGAACCTCCGCCCACGGTTCAGGGCCCTCCGGTGGGGCTCGCGACTCCGGGCACGAAGTCTGCCGCGCCAGCTTCGGGGGTGGCGCAGTGTCCCGCGACGTCTCCGGCGGTGTTGGCCACTCGCATGGCCCCTTCTCCAGCCCCTCTTGGGCCTCGCGTTCCTTCTCGGTCGTCACCTCCAGCCCCGCGCGATCGGCCGTCTCCGCGTCGCGTTTCGCCGACTTGGCCCTCGGATGGCCCGGGTTCAACGGCGGTGGGCGCCGCCACTCGATGGCTTCGATGGCCTCTCGCATCCTGGCCTCCTCTGCTGCCTCCTCGGGCGCGGGCCACGTCCACGTGACCGTCTGCTGATGACACCGCCGCCCCTCCACCACGATGGTTCGCAGCGCTTGCGCGACCTGCGCTTGTGGCAGGTGCCACTCCTGCTGCCTCGGCGGCGACCATGGTGGTGGTGATGGTGAGTGTGGCAGCGGTGACGGCGATCGTGGTGGCGGCGGTGGTGGTGGCGTCGGCAAACGTGGTGGTGGAAGCGGCGGCTGCGTTACCGACGGCGGCTGCGCTGCTGGTGGCGACTGCGGTGCCGACAGCGGCGGCTGCGGCGGCTGCTCCTTTAAAAGTAACGGTGCCCTCCGTGTACACGCCTCCTACGCAACCCGTGCATGTGTGTGTTTAGCCGGTAACGGTGCCTACGGCTTTTTAAACCCTCCCTGTCCCGCTCTCGCGCTCCTGAAGTGTGTGCCTGTGTGTGTGTGCTTGACCGTTAATTTCGATACTGTGTATCCTCCCCCTTTCTTCGGTTAGGGTACAGTGCTCCTCCGATACGCCGGATTTGTTGAGACTGCCCCTCTTTGCTTTGGGGTTTTAACTGGCTTATGTGTGTTTTCCTTTCTTTGCCCGTGTGTTCGTGCCGCAGGTTGCAAATAACCGGAGAATCGAAATTAATTATTTTAAACGGTCCCTCGTACCTGGGGGCCAGTTTCGCCGCGAATCCTTCTGCCGTCTTGGATAGATGGTGCTCCTTGGCCCATACCGTGTCTCCAATCTGTGGTTTCCAAGGGCGCCTCCGGAGATTGTAGTGGCGCGCCTGATCCTGCGCCGCCTTCTCCATGTTCCGTCTGACCAGCTCGAAGATTTCGTTTATTTTTTTCGCATTCTCCGACGGGGTCTGGGTTTCCCTTCCTGTGCCGGTGGTTTCTTCATCAAACAACGCGCTCGGTAACCTGGGCTCTCTGCCCTGCGTGACGAATGCCGGCGAATACCCTGTGGACTCGGCTACACTAGTGTTCACGGCCAGCTGCAATTCTGGCCATTTCTCATCCCACGTTCTCTGGTCTTGTCCGGCAAACTGGGCGATCATTGTTTTTACAGTTCTATTGGCCCTCTCCGTGGGATTTTCTTGTGGTGTGTACGGGGCTGTGAACTAGTGCCGCACTCCCAACTCTGTCAGGAGCCGCTTGAACGCCCTGCTCGTGAACTGCACCCCGTTATCGGTGATTAAGACCTTCGGCACGCCGTACCTTGAGACAACTCTTTCCCGGATTGCCTTTTCCAGCGTCTCCGTGGTAGCCCTACGCATTGGAACTATTTCCGTCCACTTCGAGAACCGATCTACAAGCACTAGTAGTATCGAGTTCCCGTGTTTCGACCGAGGATGCGGCCCAACGAAATCGGCGCATACTGTGGCCCAGGGCTCCTCTGGGATCTATGTGGAGCTGACTGGGCTTGTACCTGAGGCAGCTCTCACAGTTCCGCACGTGCTTCCTAATGTCGCGGTGCATGCCCGGCCAATAATACCTCGCTGCCACCCTCGCGATCGTCTTCCGGCTGCCCATGTGTCCGACCGTCGGCATATCGTGGTTTTCAACCATGACTCGCTGCCTTGACCCGATTGGTACGCATAGCTTCCCCATGTAGCCTCGAGGAAGGAAATATCCTTGGAAGCTGAATATGAAGTCTCCCCAGCTGTCGCCACCTTGGCGTAGTCCTGCGGATGTGGCCGTACGCTTTCTTTCCTCTCGCGGCTGCCTTCTCGCTGCCTGCCGTCGCTTGCCATGCTCTGAATATCCAGGCTTGCTATAAGGCCTTCGGCATCTGCGGCTGTTAGCTTGAATTTTGGGGCCGGCAGCTTCCGGAATTTGACCTCCAGACCTGCCACTAACTCTGCCACGACCGGGTCTTCTGTTATGCGGTCAACCGTCTCTGCCAGGGTCTTCCTCATCGCCTCTACCGAGCCCTCAAGTTCTATTCCCAGAACATTGCTCACCTCGGCGAAGTCCTCCTTCCTGAGATTATAAATCCAGGACTTTCCCATCTTTGATCTTTTGTTCTCTTGGTCAGGGCAATCACCAATCGCCAGATGTAACGACCTGATTTCTATGTATTCTCGCTCGCTACGTTAACGGGCGGCTAGCTCAGAGAGGTTATGGGTTCGTTCCACCAAATTTATATTGGGTGATTGCCTTTGACCAATGAATAACGCAAGAGTTCTGTTGGGATCGTAACTGTCTTTATTCGTCTCCTTGTACAAGCCTCGCGGCTCTTCAGCTGATGCTGCTCCTCGTCGTCGTCCTCTGCGGCGTCGCTCCTCGTCGTCGACTGCTTGCTGGTAACTGCCTCGTGACAGCTCCTTCGAGACTCTGGATGTTAT